GGACAGGAAGGCCTGGCGCGATATGGTTCATGGGGTCACGAAGGGTTGGACACAACTTAACGACTGAACAACAACAACATGTACACAACTTACAAAAAGCCATGTTTGTTAAGCTTGGTATATTTAATAAGCCACAACTGGCTGTGTTCAAACACACAAAACTGTAGGACATGGTTTACACACTTGGCTCAATATGCATCACACGTTAAATCACAAACTAGTCAGATTTTGCCTTAAAGTTTGATGAATCCAGCCAGTTATGATTTATTCCATAAAGAATTGAACATTTTTATGAACTATGTCACTAAATGTCTATTAAAAATGGTTCCAAATACTACTTTTTTCTAAGTGCTACAGTAGATATTTGGACCATCTCAAATTGTCAGTCATCTAAAAATCACAGGTCCAGGACAGGATAGACTCAAGACTGCTGGCTGTTAGAACTGCCTTCTTTCCATTCCATACAGAGAAGCTAGAGTGGTGTTGAATTACTTCTACACTAGCGGAAGACAAGGGTATCTCCTATTCCTGAAGCCAGCTGGTTGGCTTAGAGGATCCAGTACAAGTGATGAGAAGGGGGAGCTGGCAAATTCAGGAGGAACACTGGGAAGCTGCTGTCTTTACCCATAGAATTGCCAACATGGGGTGATTATCCCACCTGGCTTAGATGACTTTAAAACAGGAAAAGATATATTTAGAGAAAGCACAACAAATGGCTAGAGACATCTGTTATCAAGCAAAAGCTAATCTATATTAAACACTGCAGCCCAATCCTAAAGCATATTTACTCAGAAGTAAGTCCCACTGAGTTTAATGATACTCCAGGATGACAGGAATATATCAACCTTCATCAGCCAATAAATAGTTGATAGCAACTTCAGCTTTTTTCCCTGCACCCCACTCCCCATATTCTGATGCTGCTCTGACAGCCTATTTGCTTTTTCTCTTCTATGGCTACTACTTGTGATAGCAAAGAATGAAACCTCAATGTTTAGTGACAGTAATAGGGTCAGGCAATAGTAGATTATTATTCCTGGAGGACATTTGGCTTGTTAGAGGCGTGTTGAACCAAACGATCCTTAGATTTATCTAGTTAGGTCACACACTGTAAATGGTATGATGATGATGATGATGATGATGATGGTGGTGGTGGTGGTGGTGGTGATGATGATGATGATGATAATGAAATTCAGGCTTGTCTGAGCCAGTCTGTAATACTAATGGAAATGTGGGCCCATGTTTTTCAGATCCAACAAGATTGAATAGCCAGATCACCAGTGGTTGCTTCTGTCTTTACATACCTGTTTCTCTGGTGTACCTTTCTTCTTTCTACCCAGAAAAGTCCTTTAAGAGACAATTACAAAGGAAAAATAGTGAGATCTTAGCCTGGGTAGAACCATTCTGATAGTGTTCAAACCAACTGTGGCACACATTTCAGTACTGGGGGAGTATACAAACTCTTATAATTTAAATGGAAGATATATATTTCTGTTTCTCAAAATGGACTACTCAAAAGGCCTTTTCAGTCACAAGGCTCTTCTGTGCATGTACAAGGAATGTGCAGGCAATGGAAGGATTCATTCCCTCTTCTGCTGAAACACACGCCTGTAATTGCCTCCAAAGCTTTAGGAGTGCATGTTGCACATAACCACAGATCTGTTTAGGGTTTTACTTGGGTTTGGCTTTGTTGGTATGCATGCGCTGCTGGCAATCTCAAGTTTGCTGTATGCTCAGAGAAGAGCCCTAACCACTGAAAACGGTTCAAGGTTGCCAAGAGGAGAGTTTTAGGGGTACAGTGGACATGGGATTAGTTGAGGAACGTAGCTGGAAGCAAATGCTATACATACAAATTCAGCCAGCAAAAGAACAGAGGATTGAGCAACGTTCTCAGAGTTTTCAACTTTTACATGCAGCATCCTGTGGACTAAAATGTTGCTTTTTAAAAGTGAAACTAATAGGTTCCTTGGCACCAAATCCTGAGATTGGCCTTTATGAACAGGATTTTCAGAGGAGACTTGCAAATAACTAAGCATCTCCAGGCAAGAGTTACCGTCTTTCCTGAGGGGTTCCTTCCCTTCCTTTTGCAGATCGTTGAGAGCAGATCTGTTTAATCAGAAAAGAGAGGCGCGGTTGTGAGGAATAAATGCAAAGGTTTTTCACAGTGGGGTAGAATCAATGACTGGCACAGAGAACAATGTCTCTTTCTCTGCTTCTTAATAAGAAACTCTTCCTTTTCATCTTCTGTTTGTAAAGAAGTATGTGGCCTCCAGCAAGGTCTAGGTAAGCCTCATAAGGTCTTATGGACCAAATCAAGTTCACCAGCCAGAGGTTTCCTATCAGAATTGGAAGTGGAATGAATCCACACTCAATATACCCATTTAGTTACCCCTATTTGCCCAACTCCCCCACCAAGAATTTTTTAAAAATCAGTCCCACCCTTTCCTGTGATGTTACTATATCACTGCCACATCTGCTGTGGCCTTTGAGGTTGAATATATTATATTAAACCCTGGCTGCAATAATGTGGCCCTCCTGAGTTACAGTGTTCAAGGAAATGTTAGCTCTTCCCATGAAGCAGTTTGTTTGTTTGTTTGTTTGTTTGTTTGTTTGTTTGTCTGTCTGTCTATCTATCTATCTATCTATCTATCTATCTATCTATCTATCTATCTATCTATCTATCTATCTATCTATCTATCTATCTACATAGCCTTCCATCTCACACAAAG